CCGATCAGATCATTAAACCTCAAACCCTTTATTTGACCGATTCAATTACTTAAACCGGTTTGACAACTTTGCTAATTATTAATTTCTAAGATAACACAATACAAGAAAAATGGTTGTATACAGACGTATACCAGAAATGTGTCTCTACAAGGCATGTATTTACCTTTGTATAATTTTAGAAACATACGATATAACTCATTTCTCTTCGATAGAACTGTTACTGTAGCCTTGCCGGGAGAAACATTACTTGTTGTTGATTAGAGAATCGTTGGCTAATATTTTTAGCCTCTAATGTCTTTTTTGAAGCATAATATTTTCTCTTTAAGTGGTAGAACAAGTCGTTCTATCTGTAATTTATCTTTTGCTGGACTATTCGTTTGATTATTAATATGTTTTGTGTTCAACTAATTGTTGCTTCTTGTTATCACTTATAAATATGGGTTAGTAAGTGGTGAATATCATGGTAAATTGATAATACAACAAAAATATATTTAAATACGGGAAAGGAAAATATTGAATGAACCTTAAATTGATGCAAAAATGAGACCATGTCCAATGACTCTCTAAAAAAGGCAAAATTGTAAGACACTACCTACAATAATGGCTAAAAGTTCCAAAAAGAGGAGGATTTGGGGCTAAATTTGGGTTGGATAAGACAAAAGGCCATTCCAAAATATGGTCTCCCAACTTTTCATATTAGTGTGTGGACTTTCATTTTCAAATATAGTATTTTTTTTCTGCCTACATAAAAATAATGAATAAATTCTCTTTAAATGATGAAATCTACAATAATGGAGTTTAGACCAAAAATTAATTTAGAAAATTTGAGATTTTAACAATCATTATTGGAGAATAAAAACCTTTTGGTAAGATCAAATGCCTTGGCAGAATGCCAAATCTAACCCCATAAACCTACCCGCTTACGGAAAAGCACAGCTCATCTCTCTCTCTAACTTTATTTTGAATTGGTTTTCTCTGCCTTCTCTCTAGCCAGTTCATCTTTCTTCTTCCTCGGCCAGGGGCTGCCGTCGGCTACTTTTTTGGTGACCGGTGGCAGCTCCCCTCCTTCCATGCTTTCCTTTCATGCTTCTGCTTCTCCTTTGCTTTCCCCTCTCTTTGCATTCTGTTTTCTCCCTTTTTCTGCCGTTATGGCCTTCCAGTTTCCAGCCTTTATGGCCTTTCAGTTTCCAGCAGATCTGGATTTTCATCCTTCACTCCTGTTGAGCTTTATGCTCTTCGGTCGTTGATTGGGGTTCCTGTTCGGGGCTTGCTCATGTTGGGATCTAGAGTTGGCAGCTTGGGAGCCTCATCGCTCTGTTTTGGTGGTTGATGCTCTTGGGCTGGTGGTTTCATCTTTTGGTGTAGCCATTCCTTACGTCTCCCCTTCCGATCTCCCCTTGCTGTCTGAATGATGCTTGGCCGTTCATCGGATTGTGGTGGGTAGGGTCTCCTCTAGGTGGTTTTGGCTGTTGTCCGGTGTTTCCTCAGAGTTTGGGGGGCTCGATTCCGATCTTCTTCTCTCCATGGATTGACCACTCTGCCTCAACTCCCTGTGCCTTTTTCAGCTCGGAGCAATCTGTTTCACATCCTTGCCCACCGCCATGTAATTTCATTTATGAGATTCACTGTGTTGGATACCTTTGAGTTTTCCCCAGGAGGCGGCTTATGACATTGCTTTGCTCAATCGTCATGGACTTCGGCGTGATCGGACGAGCTGATCTTGATCTTGTTGCTACTCTGATTGGTTCGGATGCATGAGAGGTTTGGAATGTTCTCGTTTTGGATCAAGTGTTCGGTCCCTTTGGGTGGTTGATTTCACTCAGTGTTTTGCTCTTATTTGATGTATCTCTCAAGCACAGTTTGTGTCAACTGTTTGCTCTGAGGTGCCTGTGTTTGGTTTGATTCGATTGTTTTTCATTTTCCCTCTCTGTAACCGATCTTTCATAGTGCAATACAAGATTGTTCACTGTCAAAAAAAAAAACCTACCCGCTTACGTCCTTTCATCTTAATGCGTGTGTTTTCTGTTGCGTGGACTAGCACATCTCTATCCACACTTGTCCTTTTGTTCCCTCCTTTTCAGTTTTCACTTTTCACTCAGCTTGTCTTGTGCATGTTTTGAGATTTCTTTACCATTTTAGGTTTAATTATCATGTGATCTTAGATGTTGGGTAAGAAAATGGGGCTTGCTATTTGCCGCCAAACAAATTGCTATTTGCCGCCAACTAAAAAAAAAAAAAAAAAAAAAAAAAGAAGAAGAAAGTATATATGTACATCTTTGGTTAAGTTTTTTCACAACCTACAACATTTTCAAGTTTCAGAAAACGTATTGAATCAGAAAAAATCGACGCTCGCCGGAAAAGTCGCCGGAAAACCATCGGGAAAGCCCATCCTCGACGTAAACTGCGGTCACGCATCCATGAATCATCACTAAGCAGGTGCGTCAACTTTTTTTTAGTTTCGAACAATTTTTCCGACGATTTTTAACGAACAGAGGGTGGGCCGAAATTTTCCGGCGGCCGGAACCTGGCCGGGCCGAAAATTTTCGGCGGCCGGAACCTGGCCGGGCCGACGGAAAAAGGTGGCCGGAGCCTGGCCGAGCCGAAAAATATTTTCGGCCCGGCCAGGCTCCGGCCACCTTTTTCCTTCGGCCCGGCCAGGTTCCGGCCGCCGAAAATTTTCGGCCCGGCCAGGTTCCGGCCGCCGGAAGTTTTCGGCCCGGCCAGGTTCCGGCCGCCGGAAAATTTCGGCCCACCCTGTTCGTTGCAAATCGTCGGAAAAATTCGATTTTAGGAGTTGAATTTAGATTTTAGGAGTTGAATTTAGAGTTTAGGAGTTGAATTTAGAGTTTAGGAGTTGAATTTAGCGTTTAGGAGTTGAATTTAGCGGTTAAGAGTTGAAATTAGCGTTTAGGTTCGCAAGAATATTGATGTGTTATATTGTAATTGTAGGAAAAATGTCAGAGTGGTTACCGGCCGATCATGATTACACAGCAGAATTTGAGAATGGGATCCATTATGCAAGTGTGGAGTTAGCTGAGTTAGCTGCAATAGCAATCGCTCAGGAGAACGGGTTCTTTATTGTTAGAGGAGCATGGAAACCGAATACTTCTGGACTTACTGCCCTCTGTATGTATTGCGACAGAAGCAGTAGGATCGTTAAATCTTATAAACCAGACCCTACGAAGGAGACGCGTGGGAATACTAGTTCGAAGGGTACTGGTTGCCAGTTTCAGATATGTATTAAGGAAGTATGGCAAAAGGATCGTCCAAACACATGGGTCCTAGTGGGAGTGACAAGTCGTGCAACCGGAGCTAATAGAGGGTTTCACAACCATGAAAAGGTGTTGTATCCAGAACATCACCGACACAACAAACAGTTTAGTGAGGCTGAAAAAGAGAGGTTAAGATTAATGAGGAAGGCGGGGGTGAGACCAAATCAGCAGAAGACGACACTCAATACTGAAGGGGGTGTGAGTCATGATATCAAACAGATGTACAACAGAAATTACAAGAACAGATTGGATGAGATGGGTGAAATGGATGCGATACAGTTTGCGCTTCATGGAGCTGAACAACGTGGGTACCATATCTGTTTGCAAAAGGACTCTAATAATGTGCTCACTAATCTGTTTTTTGCGCACCCGACGTCCATTCAGATGTTGCATGCATGGCCGTACGTCATCATCATTGACTCGACCTACAAGACGAATAGGTATGGCTGGCCATGGGTTGAGATTATTGGGGTTACTCCAGTCAAGAAGAATTTCAACATTGCATGTGCACTTATTAAGCAGGAAACTAAGGAAACATATGAGTGGGTGCTGCGATGTATTAAAGGGTTGCTCGGTGATACGGTTCCGAATGTCATTGTGACAGACAAAGAAGGTGGTCTGCTTGCTTCTATGCCCCTGGTCTTCCCTCTCCCACATACTGTCCACCTACTATGTTTATGGCACGTCAACAACTGTGTGAAGCAAAAGTTTGAGCAATTACTGGGTGGAATTTCAAGAAGAGAGGTAGCAGAAGCGGTATGGAAGAAATATTTCGACAAAGCTGCATGGAGTTGGACTCAGGAGGGTTTTCTTCAAAAGATTAATCAGTTTGAGAGGGTCTGGACACAGAAGAACATAAAAATGGTTGACTACGTGCGAGGTGAGTGGTTGCCTTGTCAGACAATGTGGGCAAAGTGCTACACGAACCATGTGTTTCATCTTGGTAACACGAGCTCGAATAGAGTTGAGTCATCTCACTCTTCATTCAAGAGTTTCCTTGTGTCTGGTAGAGGAGCGATTGACACTTGTTTTGCGAAGAACCACAACTACATGGAACATCAGTTTCTAGAAGTGGTGAATGAGCTGCACAAGTCACTTAACCGCAATCTGAGTAGGGCAATTGAGCCTCCGTGCACGTTTTTGAGGAGGGTCGTTAGTTGTGAGGCGATCAAACTGATGTTAGATGGGGCGGCGGAGTTGAAGGACCGTTGTGCGTGTCATTTTCAGATGACACATGGGCTCAAGTGTGCTTGCCAGGTTGTTCAAGCTAAGGAAGAAGGACGTCAATTCTATGCTCAAGAGTTGCATGTATTTTGGCGGACTTTGGATTATAAAAACCCCCCACGTCAACAACAAGTCAATGATGAAATTGAGCTTCAACGAGAACACTTTAGGCGTCTTACTGTTGAGGTGGAAGAAAGAGGTCCTGAAGCAGTGAGACAAGCAAGAGATGCCCTATTCTATGGGCTTCACCCAGCAGAGGACAATGTGAGGGAACCGGAAGTGAATGAGAATCCGAGAGGACGGCCTCGAACAAGCACCAGTCGCATTCGTTCATATTATGAGCGGTCTCGTTCGAGGAGTACTGGGCCTGGTTCGAGTGGAGGCAGGGGGCGATCGAGTGGAGGTAGATCCCGATCGAGTGGAGGCAGATCCCGATCGAGTGGAGGTAGATCCCGATCGAGTGGAGGCAGATCCCGATCGAGTGGAGGTAGATCCCGATCGAGTGGAGGTGAATCCGACGAGCATGATACAGGTGAGTAATTGGTTAAATATTGTAGTCCATCTAGTAGTAATTGGTTTATGTTTGTAAATTTTGTCCAAGTAATTTTGACTGTTTGGTATATTTTTTGTAGATTACTCATCACAGAGCCCCCCAGGGCAATATTCTTACCCTTACATCGATGAGCTTTTTCCAGAGTTTGTTCGACCTTTGCTGGTAGGCGATTTCAACCCTAGTCCAGACGGCCATTGTGGTTTTAGGGCACTTTCTCATTGTATTTATGGGGATGATAGTCACTATCTGCTCATGAGATCGGCGATTGTCCATGAAATCCAACAACATTTCTGGAAGTACGAGAACTTGTATAATGGTGGTCCACTAGCTCACATTGACCGCATCAATTGGCTCGAGGCGGGTTCCGCACCAATGGGGCGATGGATGGATTCTGAGGACTTGTTCGTGTTTGCCACCATCTACAACATCGCAGTCATGGTCTTCACATACCAGATGTTTGATGTCAATAATGGAAACCGTCCACTACCCAACCGCTACGATGATGCCTATGTGGTATTGCCTATTGATGCGGACCAAGGTACTTTGCCACCAACCATGTTCTTATCACTGCACTATGTGAACAACCACTACATTCGATTGTACTTCAACCAGGATCAGTTTCCCATACCCCCTCTGCATCCACTTTGGCATGGGATAGCAAGTCCTAACGTGGCGGGATGGGAAGCTATTCTCGAGGGTGGACAAAATTTGTATGCGAGTCTTGGTGGTCGGCAGCGAGCCAGGCAGAGAGACCCCCGAAGAGCTAGGGGAAGGGGTAGGGGTAGGAGCAATGCATAGTGTTGCGATGCTCTATTTATATGTTGTTGTTTTTCTAGTTGTATTTTAAATGGCTCTAGTGTCATCATGAACTTATGGATTTCATTATGGATTTCATTATCATCATGAACTTATGGATATCATTATGGATTTCATTATCTACCCTCGATGTTTTAATCATGAGTGTGCAAACATCCGATCCAAACATAAGTAGTCAAACATAAACATCTGATCCAAACATAAGTAGTCAAACATAAGTAGTCAAACATCCGATCCAAACATAAGTAGTCAAACATAAACATCTGATCCAAACATACATAAATATGCAAACATGCAGTCTAAACATAAACATCCGATCTAAACATCAAAACAACTAAAAATCCCCTGGAGGGGGGAGTCCCTGGGAGGCCCAGTACTCAGTCCACACATCCTGCACTCCGTGCAGTGCCCTGTAGGCTCGTCGAGAATGCTCAAGAAACTCATCCTCGGTCCCTGCTGCTGCTCGAACTGCAGGTGCAAACGTGTACAAAAGGTCTCGAGCACGCTGCACAAAAAAAAAACAATAACAATTGTTAGTTTCACGCTAAGTATATTTATAATAGAGTAACGGTCTAGTGGTCAAATCTTACCGCTGCGGAGTCAACTAGTCGATCTGCATCTCCATCATCCCGTAGGACTCTACAATGAGAGTGTGCCACGAACCAGTCAAGATAGTCGGCCGTAGTCTCATATGGATACGTCCTCGAACCCTGTCTCTACTCTTGTCCACAAACAAAGTGGACCCCAACATCAACAACAAGTACGACTGCGCCTCTGTCACATGTGTCCCGTTCACCTGCAAGTACCTGGACGCCATGTCCGCAAGAAAACCACCCTTGTCGTACCACTTACCCTTACTACCAAATCCAGGGACCTCCGAACGACCACTCAACTGCTCCGAGTTCATCCCAAGAAGCGCACACAAACCCACCTCCGGATGGTCAAGCTGCTCAGAAGTCCTACTCATCAGTCGTCCCTCAACAGGAATCTGCAGTAAGTACTGAACATCGTGGAGGAGGATCGTCATCTCTCCAAAAGGCAAGTGGAAAGTGTTCGTGTCTGGCTGCCACCTCTCCACAAAAGCTGAGATCAAAGCCTCGTCAATCGCTATCCTGCGGAACATAGAGTAGATCAGGTGCTGGAGACCTGACTGCTGAACCAGATCCTCCGCCTCAACATGACTAAACACGTAGTTCCCAAGATAGTCAACCGCCCCTGTACGGGTGTAGCAACTGATGACCCCTCGATCTCCAAGCCCCGTCCAAAGTGCGTAGGAAGCGTGGCCACGGAAGCTCCTAATGAGGCTAGGATCCGTAGGTCCACCAGGACACTCACCAACAAGCTCCCACGGTGGAGGACCACTCGAACGTCCTCCCCTACTCCGTCCAGTCCCCGAGCTCTCTGTCTCCTGACGAGCAGGTGGTACGAATCGCCGAGCTCGGTCCCTATACATAGCAGGACGTGATGTCGCCGTACGATCCTGCACTCGTCCATGTCCATGCGTAGGTGGAGGGACATCGACATCCTCATCATTATCGTCCTCATCTCTATCGTCCTCATCAAACTCAGCAGAGACCACTCTCGATGCAGCACCCTGGTTCCCCCCATGGGAACCAGACGCCCGTGATGACGAACGAGCAACTAAAGTAGGAGCCTCTGACTGATGTCCAATATCTCGAGTGCGCTTCTTCTCCTTATTCTTCTGAGGCACCTTCCTTCGTGTTGATGCATCAACAACCCTACCATTGAATCTACCCAACTCACTCCCACCCGCATCATCCATATCTAATTATCTACAAATTTACACAATATCATACTTAGATGCGCACTAATTAATTAAATTTCGATTAACTAATTAATTGTTAATTAATCACTAATTAATCAATATCATACATAGATGCGCACTAATTAATTAAATTTCTATTAACTAATGTACTATTAACATTAATTGTTAATTAATCACTAATTAACTGCAAGTCTATTAACTAATGTACTATTAACATTAATTGTTAAACCAATTCTTAATTATTTAATTTTCTATTAACTAATCTAAGTAATTAAAAAAACATTTAATTAAGTAGTTAATCGAAATTAACTAATTAAGTAACTTTTATTGACTAATTAATTAACATATTAAATTAAATTAAAAAAACATACCGGGCCGAAAAAAAATAGCGGCCGGCGCGCCGCCGGGCCGGAAAAAAATTGCGGCCGGCGCGTCGCCGGGCCGAAAAGATTCTGCGGCCGGGACGTGGCCGGGCCGAAATATTTTTTCGGCCGGGACGTGGCCGGGCCGAAACATTTTTTCGGCCGGCGCGACGCTCAGCCGAAAAAAATTTGCGGCCGGAACGTCGCCGGGCCGAAAGAATTTTTCGGCTGGGCGTCGCGCCGGCCGAAATTTTTTTTCGGCCCGGCCACGTTCCGGCCTCCAAATTCTTTCGGCCCACCGTGTTTTTCGCCGGAAAACTGGAAAAATCGCCGGAAAAACAGAAAAAATTGTCGGAAAAAGTAAACTTACTTGTTTCCGACGATTGAGGACGACGGGAAGTTGGCCGGCGACGGAGGAACTGTGCCGGCGACGGAGGCACTGGGCTCGTCGACAAAAGTGTTTTGTTGGAATGAGGTAATGTTATGGTATTCAAATTTATAGGAAGGGAAGGAAGGGGAGAATTCAAAATTTGAATTCAAAATTTGAATTTTTTTTTTTTTTTTTTTTTTGTTGGCGGCAAATAGCAATTTGGTTGGCGGCAAATAGCCGTTCACAAGAAAATATACCCCACGCTACATGGATTTACATTACCATTCTTATAGTATCACAAAATTTTGATTAATTAAACAAAGTAATGGATAGTCACTAATTAATTGTACTATTAATTTTACCAACACTGGCATTGATAATGGATAGTCACTAATTTCATACATAAAACTAATTCTAATAGCATTCTAAAACAAATAGGCCAAGGAATGATGCACTCATATATATATATATATATATATATATATATATATATATATATATTGACAGAGACCTATTACAAGGTTCTACACTTCTACTAGAGGGGTGGAGGAGGGTGGGAAAGGAGTGTCGTGTCGTCCCTGGGATTTGTATCTGGGGCCTCAAGGGTAAAAACTCGCGGTACGACCACTCGACCATAGCCTCGTTCGCATGCACTCATATTGATACCTCAACAGTTACGTTGCTTTCCATAAAAAAAGAGCGGTATAACTAATAGACATGAAATATTTCAACAGACATAACCAATGAATTGTAGGAATACTGATAAACTTCATTTATCATGTTTTGTTTCACTTTTTTCAAAAAGATTTTGGTACAAATAAGCACATTCTAATTTTTTGAAATATTTATCCACATCAAAATTCAAGCCCAAAATAAGATGGATCCCATTAGTAAGCATTTCGTACATCCATATTTCACTAATAACGTAGGAAAAAAACTGAGTATATACTATATATATATATATAAAAGTAACCAAAATAACTTTCTCAGCACTTTAAAAAAAAAAGTAACCAAAATAACGCCATCAACCCAATCGTAGCATCAGTTCAGATTTTTATTTTTTTCTTCTGCCAAAGATGAAAAGAAACCTAAAAGTGGATCTATATGTATATGCTATAATATCTGTCCGTTTACAATTTATGGATTTATTTGTACGTAACAATAAAGAGAGGGAAAGATGAACGACGACGAGACGAGGAGTAGCAACCCCACCTGAAAGCGAAAGTACGACACACCATAATCAGTTCCAGTTAAGGAGCTCCTCTATCATTTGCATAGCCACTCTGTTCTCCTCCGCTTCCTTCTCTCCCCCGATGGCCGGCGGCGACATCCCCTCACCCTCATCCGCCGTCGTAGACGTCGACGAAGAAGCAGCAGGCCCATCCTCATTTCCTTCTTCCGGAGCAGCATTGTCCGCAGCAGGCCCAACGACAGCAGGAGTGGGACCGGAGCCCAAACGGACGCGCATGACCCAGCTGGATGTGGGCCGGGCCCCGGCCCGCTTCTGCCAGACCCCAATGTGGGCGCTGTCTTCGGAGTCCAGCCTGAGGCACGTGAGCGAGCTGGGGGACGGGCCCTTGCCGCAGCACTTCCGCAGCTTCGCGTTCAGAACCTCCCCCAGCGTCTTGCTGCTGCTCGCCGACGTGGCGGTGGCGGGAAAATTGGTCTTGGCATTGTGTCCGCTCATCAGGACGGCGGCCTGGTCGTACGCCCTCGCCGCCGCCTCCGCCGTCTCGAACGTCCCCAGCCACACCCTCCGCTTCCTGAGGAAAATTTAAACCCACATTTATTTATTTATGTGATAAGAGAGAGAGAGAGAGAGTGAGAGAGAGAAAGGATGGGGGAAAAATGTAGGTACAGTAAAGGGTGGCGGATTTCGGAGACCCAGGAGCCCCACTGACGCTGCCTGACACCTCTGAACTTCTTCTTCTTATTATTATTATTCTTTGATTGTTGTACTGCCATGCTTCTGGTTTGAGGAGATGGAGGATTTAATTTGTTTGCAGAGAGATTGGGGGGGAGGGAGATAGAGATGAGCATACTACTGAAGGAGTAAAGAGACAATATTAATGGTGGTGATGATAGTACGATATTATTATGGACAGAGGGGAGGGAAGGTGAGTTGTTTGTTTGTTTTATTTTTATTTTTATTTTATTTACTTGAACATAAAGATAATGAAAGAGGGGAGAGTGTGAAGATGTCGGTGAAATATGGATGGGAAAAGTCTAACTTTGCAATTAATAAGGGTTTCACCTACATTATTAAGTAGGTACGTATACCCTGCTCCACAGGTCAGCTTGCTGTGTATTGTTTGATCATTTTGGGGGTTTAAAGGGCAATAGCTTGCTGTGTTCTTGACAAATTATGATGTAAATCATAACAAATTAGGGTTAGTTCAAGATCCATACTTTTTTAGTTTACTTTAGCGAAATGATGCATGTGTATGTGGGGTTTAATCTGAAATCCCACAATTGAAATCCTTGGTCCGAACCATCCGTCAAACCCTATAATATTATATCGGAACCAATTGATCTCAACCATTCGAGTTGTTGTGAATCCTGTACAATATTTTATATAATTCTCAGGAACTAAATAATGACCATCGTTCCGAAACTCTTGAATACAGGAGAAAGAAAAAACTGCCGGTACCAGTTTATATTGATCTATGATCAATAATATTAATCGGTGATTTTGGAGAAGGATTTGATGGGGGTGGGATATAGTACCCTTTTCTCCCTCCAGTGTAAGTTGTGAAAACAGCTAAGCTAGAAATAAATGTAGAGCCAATGAGATGCATATTGCAGATGTGCAGTGCCCCAACTGCCGATTAAAGAAATCAACAGACTTTGGCTTAGCAGTTATACACCGAGTCCCCAGCTGCATGCACATTGCACAGGCCTTGTATTACTTTCTTTCTACTTTCATTTCATAAAACGAAAAGATGTATTCGGTATATGCACGTCGCTTTTAAAAAACTCCGTTTGCGGATTATTCTTACCCACAAGTATTTGAGATTGTGTCATTATGATGCGTGTGCGCGATTGCTGTGTACTACGATGATGATTTCGAAATTAAATCAATATCCTTTCCTTTACATATATCACTCTCGGAGTATAAATTCAACCTCAAAATTAGTCCTGTTCTTTTCATGTGAAAAAGAGACATCCAATGACTTTTATGTATCGTCTCTGTTCTTGTTTGGTTTCCAGTTTGGTTATGAATTTCAGTGGGTTTTATTTAACCAGATGTACCATCAAACCTGCCTGAAGCCTTGCTAATGAATCTTGTTGGAGAACATATATATGATTGATAAAGAATAATTAAATGCCCCTAATTACTTTCCCAAGCCACTTTTCAGTTTATTAAACTGAGCTTCCTAATTAGGGGTGTGCAATGGTTCGGTCCGAATGAATCTTGTTGGAGAACATATATGATTAACAAAGCACAATTAAATGCCTCTAATTAATTTCCCAATCTACCTTTTAGTTTATCAAACTGAGCCTCCTAACTAGGGGTGTGCAATGGTTCAGTCTAGTCCGGACTGAACCAAACTCATGAGAACCACGGTCTATTAGTGAAAGACATATATACTATGATCAAGGACCGGACTATCGTTGCATTTGGTTCACTTAGTCTGGTTCGGTCAGATCCAAATATTAGTTCGGTCCATTGTTTCTCCAGTAATCATAAAATTCATGAGGACCAAGTACCGGACTGTATTATATATACTCGGTCCGATGCAGTCTGATCCAAACTGCGTTGTGATCCGGTACGAACCGAACCATTGCACACCCCTATCCTAATAGATTTGTCTCCATTGAGAAAATCAGTTGGAGAGTAACAGAGTGAAGCCTCTTGAGCTTCAGAGAAGCAAACATGAAAAACCAAATGATTTCACTTAAAAAACAAGAAGCAACATTTGCTATATGAAAAAAGGTGGGTATGATTGTGATTGGTGAACTCTGATTATTCGAGAGCTAGGGTCTTTCACGCAATGGTATGCATTACTATTTCCCTATCCTATCCATTTAATTGATTATGCCTTACTCAGTTAATTCGAACTTCAATCTTTTTTCTGTGAAAAAAAATTAAAAAAAAATATGCTAATATAAAATGACATCCACTTTTATATATTTTGGTAACAAAAAAGATGTTAATCGAGACTGCCACATTATTTCATGTTGATAGAGATAAAGATTCTACCATGGTGTGTAAGTTGTGAAAACAGCTAACCTAGAAATAAATGCAGAGCCAATGAGATGCATATTGTGGCTGTGCAATTCCCCAACTACCTATTAAATAAACCAACAGACTTTGGCTTAGTAGTTACACACTCATGATCCCCAGCTGCATGCACAGGCGTTGTATATGTTCTCTCTCCATGTTTCTCTTTCGATCACTTTCTACTTTCATTTCATAAAACGAAAAGATACATATCTTCGGTATATGCACGTCGTTTTAAAAACTCCGTTTGCGGATCATTCTTACCCACAAATATTTGAGATTGTGTAACATTAATGATGATTTCGAAATCAATACTTTCCATTACATATATCACTCTCTGAGTACATTCAACCTCCAGATTAGTCCAATTCTTTTCATGTGAAAAGAAACATCCAATGACTTTTATGTATTGTCTATGTTCTTGTTTGATTTCCAGTTTGGTTATGAATTTCAGTGGGTTTGATTTAACCAGATGTACCATCAAACCTGCCTGAAGCCTTGAGATAAAAAAATTTTTGGGTGAAAGAAGCCTTGAGATAATGAATCTTGTTGGAAAAGATATTGTATATGATTAATAAAGAAGAATTAAATGCCCCTAATTACTGTCCCAACCCACGTTTCAGTTCATCAAACCGAGAATCCTAACAGATTTGTCTCCATTGAGAAAATTAGTTGGAGAATAACAGAGTGAAGCCTCTTTTGAGCTTCAGAGAAGCAAACATAAAAAACCAAATGATTTCATTTAACAATCAAGAAACCACATTTGCTATATGAAAAAAGGTGGCATGATATTGATTGGTGGACTCTGATGATTTGAGAGCGTGGGTCTTTCACACAATGGCATGCATTACTATTATTTCCCTATCCATTTAATTAATTATGTATTGCTCATTTAACTTAAATTTCAATATTTTTTATGCAAAAATACAATCAAAATAAATATGTTATATTAAATGACATCCACTTTTATATATTTTTATAACAAAAAATATCGTTAATCGAGTCTTCTTCTGCCATAATATTCCATAGTGGTAGATATAAGATTATACCATGTTAATGATATAATGTGCTATAATGTAGAAAAGTATAACACAATGAACCAGTTCATTCTATACACAAGAAAAGTATAGTGACGATTTCGTGGCTTATACAAAAGTTATAGTAGCTTTTTGGAAATTAGTCAACAACTTCAGAAATGGCCTGAAGTCGAAAGAAAAACGAAGATCATCAGATTCAGTTGTAAACGAAGAAGCTGAGAGGAAAGGAGATTTTTAGAGGGACAGGAAAGGAGGGAAGATGTTGCTTGCAGTTCTCATCTCGAATTCTGTGGGCAATATCCTTGTGGAGAGGTAAAACATCTCACGGTTCAATCTTTACCCGAGTGATAGATTTACCTTTTTGTGAGATCCCCGAATTCTGCCTCATTTCTTGTGATCTCCTCGACTTTTCTTTCTCACTTTTCTGGGTTTTCATTCTTGCAGATTCAATGGAGTTCCAGCTGAGGAGCGATTGCACTGGCGATCTTTCCTGGTGAAACTGGGAGCCGACAATCTCAAACACGCCAAGAACGAAGAGCTCTTTGTCGCTTCCCACAAGTAGGGTTTTGCTTTACCTTTTTATCTTCCCTGTCACTCCTTGAGATCTCTTTGCTTCAGATTTAGAGGGTGCTTCGATTTTTGCGTCTAATGCCATGGGTGTTCGTTGAACTTTTGATTTAGGTCGGTTTATATCGTCTATACGGTGCTTGGAGATATCTGCCTGTATGTTGTTGGCAAGGATGAGTACGATGAACTAGCTTGTAAGTAGCTCAATTTATGGTTTTCATCCACTAGGTATATAAAGGAAGTAGCTCAAAGTTGGGTTCTTTTTTATGCAAGTTACTTACTGATGGTAATTTCTGTTGGTATTTCTGGCTGGATTGTGCTGTAGTGGCTGAAGCCATCTTTGTGATAACGGGGTCGATCAAGGATATCTGCAAGAAGCCACCAACAGAACGTACTTTCCTGGACAAGTATGGAAAGATATGTCTAACTCTGGACGAAATCGTCTGGAAGGTATGTATTACTTTCCTCTGCTTTCTTGTTCTCTTGACATTGCGAAATTGATGTTAGAACTGCTAAGGGAGGTGAAGGTAGTCTATGGTTTGTCCTAGCAGCAGCAGTGTTTATAGCAACTTTCACAAGTATCCTAGATAATCCTATAGGCTGTAGAAGGAAAATGGTGGTGGATCATTTGATAATTAGAGAGCAACTTCTTCACTCTACTTCTGGTGCTGGTAGATCTCAAATGGTGGAACTGTGGAAGTTTTTTCACGTTAAGGTGTTTCATTAGCTACCTTTCCATTTGAACAGTTAGAGGGTTAGGATCCTTTTCCTATAGGGCTGCTCCATCCATTGGGATCAAATATGTGAATGATTATACTTCAATTTGCATCTGCATCTGTGTTACTTATGTTCATCGTCATTCAGTGTGATTTGCTTGTTGTTTTTCTTATGTGAAGGGTATCTTGGAGAACACGGACAAAGAAAGGATCAAAAGGCTGGTGAGATTGAAGCCTCCCACAGAATTCTGAACTGTGGACGTTGGAGTCCCAAACTTCGTCAACATATATAGGGCTTGTGAATCAGTTTCCTGGTTCTGATGTGAAACGTACTACAGATGTTGTATTCTTGGATTTGTCTCCAGTTTCTGTGGCTCAGTTGCTGTGACTGTGATCGATGAATTTTTTACTTCCCGGATCATTAGATGCATATGGATGCTTAATATGTCCTGTCAAATTGTGAGGCTGAAGTTTGAAAAAGAATGGAGGAATTCAAATTCTGTTTGTTTGAATTTCTCTATTGTTCATCTCAGTAATCTTCTGTTCATCATGGAGCATTTTTAAACCTGATCTGTCTTCAAATACTGTCTACATCATTTCAACTTCAAACTCTAGACAACTAGAGATATAGAATAGAATGGCAATGAGGAACCTAGTCGAGCTAGTATGGCGTACTAGTTGGTCTTGGTATGTGACAGTCCCACGATTGTGCTCACAACACAACCTGTGAGACCTTGTTTATAAATGTTGGGAGTTGTAGATATAATCAACTAATCAAGCAGTGGACGAACACGGTAATTGACAATAAGAAATCTGAAGTTTCATCACTGTTATTGCATGGACCGAATGACAGACTTGAGGACACAAGCAACGATAACTAAACTAAGACTCATGCTTGCAATACAAGGTATGAACTACTTTAACATCTCACGGTTCAATCTTTACCCGAGTGATAGATTTACCTTTTTGTGAGATCCCCGAATTCTGCCTCATTTCTTGTGATCTGTTATGCAGATGCTGCGATTGCGATTGCAATGGCCTCGACTTTTCTTTCTCACTTTTCTGGGTTTTCATTCTTGCAGATTCAATGGAGTTCCAGCTGAGGAGCGATTGCACTGGCGATCTTTCCTGGTGAAACTGGGAGCCGACAATCTCAAACACGCCAAGAACGAAGAGCTCTTTGTCGCTTCCCACAAGTAGGGTTTTGCTTTACCTTTTTATCTTCCCTGTCACTCCTTGAGATCTCTTTGCTTCAGATTTAAAGGGTGCTTCGATTTTTGCGTCTAATGCCATGGGTGTTCGTTGAACTTTTGATTTAGGTCGGTTTATATCGTCTATACGGTGCTTGGAGATATCTGCCTGTATGTTGTTGGCAAGGATGAGTACGATGAACTAGCTTGTAAGTAGCTCAATTTCTGGTTTTCATACAATAGGTATATAAAGGAAGTAGCTCAAAGTTGGGTTCTTTTTTACGCAAGTTACTTACTGATGGTAATTTCTGTTGGTATTTCTGGCTGGATTGTGCTGTAGTGGCTGAAGCCATTTTTGTGATAACGGGGTCGATCAAGGATATCTGCAAGAAGCCACCAACAGAACGTACTTTCCTGGACAAGTATGGAAAGATATGTCTAACTCTGGACGAAATCGTCTGGAAGGTATGTATTACTTTCCTCTGCTTTCTTGTTCTCTTGACATTGCGAAATTGACGTTAGAACTGCTAAGGGAGGTGAAGGTAGTCTATGGTTTGTCCTAGCAGCAGCAGTGTTTATAGCAACTTTCACAAGTATCCTAGATAATCCTATAGGCTGTAGAAGGAAAATGGTGGTGGATCATTTGATAATTAGAGAGCAACTTCTTCACTCTACTTCAGGTGCTGGTAGATCTCAAATGGTGGAACTGTGGAAGGTTTTTCACGTTAAGGTGTTTCATTAGCTACCTTTCCATTTGAACAGTTAGAGGGTTAGGATCCTTTTCCTATAGGGCTGCTCCATCCATTGGGATCAAATATGTGAATGATTATACTTCAATTCCATCTGCATCTGTGTTACTTATGTTCATCGTCATTCAGTGTGATTTGCTTGTTGTTTTTCTTATGTGAAGGGTATCTTGGAGAACACGGATAAAGAAAGGATCAAAAGGCTGGTGAGATTGAAGCCTCCCACAGAATTCTGAACTGTGGACGTTGGAGTCTCAAACTTCGTCAACATATATAGGGCTTGTGAATCAGTTTCCTGGTTCTGATGTGAAACGTACTACAGATGTTGTATTCTTGGATTTGTCTCCAGTTTCTGTGGCTCAGTTGCTGTGACTGTGATCGATGAATTTTTTACTTCACGGATCATTAGATGCATATGGATGCTTAATATGTCCAGTCAAATTGTGAAGCTGAAGTTTGAAAAAGAATGGAGGAATTCAAATTCTGTTTGTTTGAATTTCTCTATTGTTCTTCTCTACTGTTCATCATGGAGCATTTTTAAACCTGATCTGTCTTCAAATGCTTTCTACATCATTTCAACTTCAAACTCTAGACAACTAGAGATATAGAATAGAATGGCAATGGGGAACCTAGTCGAGCTAGTATGGCGTACTAGTTGGTCTTGGTATCTGACAGTCCCACGATTGTGCTCACAACAGAATCTGTGAGACCTTGTTTATAAATGTTGGGAGTTGTAGATATAATCAACTAATCAAGCAGTGGACGAACACGGTAATTGACAATAAGAAATCTGAAGTTTCATCACTGTTATTGCATAGACCGAATGACAGACTCGAGGACACAAGCAACGATAACTAAACTAAGACTTATGCTTGCAATACAAGGTATGAACTACTTTAACAAGAAGCAACATAGAAGCAAACCATGGCAGAGTGGACTTGCTACGAAATCAATGGCTCAACCACAACAACGACTTGACCTAATTGCTGGGATCACAACTCATAACCTCTCAGCAATGTACCTTCGCAGAACCTCAATGGGCTTATTCCCGTCACCGCTTCCCCTTTCCCTTCGCTTAACCTTCACCCTCGCAAGGTAATCAGCTGCAATCCATGGGAAGCTGAGCATCACAACATTGACAGCACCATCAACCTCCTGCAACTTGGCATACCTCTTCACCCACGTAGGATTGTAAGTCACCTGATACCAAGCCGATGCTTTCTTCTCGTACATGATGTTCCTCTCTTCATCCGGTAGCTCCTCGAAACCATCATCCATCTGCTCAAACATTCGCCGGAACTCTTTCCTCAGGCCACTATACGACTGCTTCAGCCTCTCCTTCAAGTCGCCTTGCTTCCTGCTGTTTGACTTTGGCATTGACCAGACATGTCCCGTCACTATCTCTTCCTCCCTCTTCACTTTATACTGTTGAAGAAGGCCTCTCAGCTGGTCATCGTACGAGCGCTTCAGGTCCCACGCTTCCATTATGAAATCGGATGCTCCCCGAACGTCCAGATCCCAGTCGTAGTATATGTCGATGGGCGAGCTGCTGGTGCTGATGGGCTCCAACGATGCAGCAGCCGTCTCTTCTTCGTATGCATCCTTGACCTGGCGATACAGTCTTCCCAGGATCTTGCTCGACTTGTACGACTGATGGTCTTCTTTCCCCATGAAGTCCGGGTAGAGCTTCGGTTTTAGATGACCCGGCATGGTTACTATCTTCCCGGTTTTCGGGAAGTCAACAGCTGTTGCGGCTAAATCCGCCAACTTGATGCATTTTTCGTCCAGAGCCCCATATTCGCTGAGATCTGCATGGACCACGTGTGCGTTGCAGATTGCTCCCAGGTTCTCGTTAACCATGTTCCTAACGAAGAATTCGATTATGTCCTGCAGCATTGACAACAAAGCCGGCAAATAGCATTGGCGTTTTCTTTCTTGTTTAGTGATGAATTATCTGCTCTACTGATGTCAACTTAAGACAACAAGTAAAGATAAACAGAAATAAGCCTACAGCATGTAAATTATTACCTGAGTATTCACTTCACGACCAAGCAGTTTGGGTTCTCCGACATCATACTGCATTGGCGGCCAACTCCTTTTGCTGGGAGGAATAAGATCTTCATCCCACGTGACAAAATACAGGTCACCATCGAGATCACTACCAGAGGCCTCATTTGTATGTGGTCTCTCACCCTTCTGCGGGAAAATAAGGCAATCATGTAAATGGTGCAAACCAGGATCATCAACTGCTTCCAGCACCCTCACATCTCCAGGATGAAGACAAGGGTTCTTAGCTATGACCACAGTGCCCTTCACCACACGAAGATCTTTCTTACTACCCTGAAACCTCTCACCATGCTTCAAGAAACAATTCTCGAGAGACGGTTTGGAGACTTGGATGAAGCATTGCCCTTGCTCGAGCACACCTAGCTCGTCAAGACAACCCATCAACCATCTCCCACTTTCGACGAAGATTCTCGACTTCTCCCTCAACCCCCAGAGCTGCGAAGCTCTAATGGAAGTCAGCATGCCTCTCAAATGGGGTTCCGTTTGTGGCTTGAAACCTGCACTCAGCATTAGTGCAGCAACAGTTCCTTGCTCAGCGCAAGATGCTGTGAGAACATCGAACGCCACATCTACATCGACGAGCATTTGATTCAGTCGAGACAACTGCCTCTGCTGCATGTCCCAGAACACAGTATCAGGAACATCAAGAGTCGACAGGAGAGTGATTATTTGTCTGTTCAAAAACCCTGCCTGGAATCTAGCCCAAGAGCATATCTCCAGAGTAGAATGAGTGGAGATGAACTTGTTCATGCTGGGTCTCAAAGACAAACGATATCCATTGTCGTTGTCTTTTGCAGGCCAGCAAGCCACCACACCTTTGCAGCCGGCAAATCTGATCTGGTAAGCACATGGTGGATCAGCATCTAGTTTCAATCTGATCGCGACTTCCTGGGCTAGGTCAGGCGCTATCATCCCAATGCCATCAGAAAAATTATAGCCATTTCTCTCAATATCAGGAAGCATGTCGTTGACCTCGTGTGATGGAACCTCCACAGTTGCATAAGTGGAGGAGAAACACTGACCCATTCGGGCAGCGCATTTTGCAACATTCCTATTTTTGAACTTACCCATCCAAGCTCTTATACGACTCGTGTTAACGGTTTCATGATCGGCGAAGAACCATGCTGAACGATCTCTCAATTGGTTTGACGAGAAAGCCAAGAAAGAGTACCTTCGACCGCACAGATAGAATCCATCAATGAGAACACTTCGAACCCTTTTGAAAATGGTGGTCTTCTGAGGAAATGGGTTTGAGGTGATTTCTCTCACGATGGTAGCTACATAGTACGAGAACGTATTCGAGTTCATCGTTTGCAAGCCCTCATCCATGAAAGTGACTCTCAGAAAACGATCGGCAACGTCTTTGTACTTCCTCAACACTCTATTGGAGAGCTCGACTTCAGGAGGAAGGCAATAGGCTCGAGTTGGGGTAATTACCAACCTCCTGATTTCAGCAAGGTCTTCCAACCGGGTATTGCTCTTGACAGAACTATTAGCATTGTTCTTCAAAACCCACCGTTGGACGAGTTTTAGCCGCTCAGTAGCATCATCAAGGACAGGATGTCTGTAAGAACAAATGTGCTTTAGAGCAGCAACATTGATCTCTGCAGGTTGCTTTCTCAGTGCATTGAAAAACTCCTCTGACAGCTGGTGCTGACTGAATATTCCTTTATGCATGACGGCATTCACCAGGAACATTTGTTCAAAAGAGACCCCTGGATAGTTGTTATGAATAGAGAAGAAGACATCCAATAGGGGTGCCCCGAACTCAGGCTCATCCAAGATCTTAAGAGGTCTCTGAAGGGAATAGTCCTGCACCCTCCTTTCTCTAAGAAAAGTCATGGCCTTCTTCAACTTGGCACCGTGGCGTGGTCTAACAGAGAGTCGATAAAAGTTGCACCGGCCAATAGCGCCACTTGGGGTGAAGTCGGTGGTTCTGATCCAAGGGTCATCATCATCCAACAGATCGAATGGAACGGATACTTCAATGTCATCATCAGCAGTTCTATACCAGACATGTGGAGCTGCAGCTAACTGCAACAGTATAACCAAGCATGTTCTCTCTGTGTACTGTTTGATGTCAAATATGTCTCTCACCAAGAACTCCATCTTGTAATCACAATTGAGCACTGCATGCTCGGGAGAATTTTTGAAGGAGAAGTACGTCTGCCTGGTGAAGCAGAATTTGCACGTCCCGTCGAAAGGGTCAACCAGAAAATCGAGACCAGAATCGGGTCCTTTCCAGCCTACAAAGAACTCCTCCCGACTGACAAGGGTTCCAATGTCGAGCTGCACATCGGGGATCTTGAAAGGAGTTGAAGTTCTTCTTCTCTGGTTGAGCCGAAATGGGTTTTCAGGGCCCAGGCTAACCTTCAAAGGTACATCTCTGAATGTGAGCAGGCCACTTCCTTCAGCATCCATGGCAGCACTTGCTGACTCGGGCAATGCGAAATGGACAAATGCATGGGGCACCACTCGCCTGTAGGTGTCCATTACTTGGATGCCATTTGGTTCGATGATGTCAAATTTAGGATAGGACTCTGGAGGGGTCCATGAGGCCTTCAGTCTGCATCGCCAAACTTGTCCAATCTTGTCTTCGAGATGCTTGACAAGATCATTAGCTTTGACATCAATGTCAAATCCTCCAATGCTGACCTGAGTTACCACAGTCTGTGCGGCACTCTTTTCTGAATCCATTCCTTCTCAGGAGAGTCAGACGATGCTAGTAACTGGTTACCTATTGACTATCAATAGAAGTTAGAATTCAAGAAGCTTTATTGTTTCAATGCAGATCACAAAAATGAACAGATCGTTTTACATGATTATCAGTTATGAATATATCACCTTGGCAGTCAAAATATAAACAAACCTATAGCGTGAAAGTTCAAGCCCTACTTCGCAGAAGGCTAGTTGTTGAAGGGCATACAATTGAATAGAACACATTAAGACAACCAAATCATGCGGTTCTCGGCAGGTCATTCTCACATTACTCCTATTAACTTCAATTATCTCCACCATCTCCCCTCCAGTTTGTGAATCAGAAATATGCAAGACTTGCAATTGGCGAAACAGAAATATACTCGCAGATAAAATAGATAATTTGGTAAGCAATTGGTGTGGGGTTTACAAGACCAAATGCCCTAGTTTCAATGTTGTGCATTTACTTACACAACACCTAACATAATCCTGAATTACCCCTAGAATTCAGAAGCCAAAGACATTCAAATTTGAGCAGATGATGAACCAACGAAACTCAGGAAAAGAGCAAAACAAATGCCAATTCTTTCCCAAGAATTCAAACAGATCACCAGAACCCATCAAACCCATTTCAGAACAAGCAGCCGAATAACCAAAAACGCAAAACCCATCACACAAAATTCTCGAGCGAAAAGCACGGCAAAGATTGCATGATGAACTAGGAAAAGGCAGGATCTTGGAAAGGGGGAACGATAACTGACCTATTTGCAGTGGAGTCTAGCCAAAAGGGGGCGGGGCACGAGGTCTAAATGAGGCCGGCAGCAAGATCAAAAACAGAAACAGAGGCACAGAAAGGATGTGTGCGCAGAGAAGGAGCAAGTCAAGATGGGTGTGAGACGAGAATGTGAGAGGGGGGAAAATGCACGTTATATGCAAGAGGAATCTGATTACCTTGCCCTGGAAGGACCTTCTTCATCCTTGCCTTTCTGCAGGTGTGTCTCCTTACGGAGGAAGTTGTTGCCTTTCTTCTTTTCTGGAAGTGGGGGGAGATGACCGTGCTCACTCAAATTCCAAACGAGTAGTTGGCTTTTCCTTATTTTTGTTCGTATCAGTTCCCGCTACGGCACCTGGGCCCTCTATGTCACTGTAGCTCCAAAGTGCAAGTGACGGAATGTGGCAGTACTCTCCTGTTGTTGCAGGCGGGCGGCCTAAGTGGATGAAAATTATGACGATAGAGAAGAAAGAGGAGATAGAGCTCCTCCTCTTCATTGATGATCTTTTGACGAAGTAGCGAAATGAATATTGGGAAAGGTGAAAAGTTAAGATGAGCATCGGCAGTCGGCACAACTCATCGGTAAATATGATGAATTTCTTGGTCACTGTGAAGTTGCACTGGAATACGGAAGTGTGTAGAATGTAGATATAATCGTGAGCTCAAGGTTTATTTAGCTTTTCTAGGGTAAGTTACATATTTACATGTAGGAGTTTAGTTTATGATAGTTTGTATGAGGAGATCCTTAAGAACATAGGTTTGCGATCTAACGATCTGTGATAGAGAGGGTGAAAGGAAGCAATTGAAGAAATTTCAATATATATACAAAGATCAATAGGTGGAGTCTCAATCAAGGACCCCAAGAGCAACAATTCGGATCGAGGGGTCAAAAATCTGGAGGTAGACTTCGAACAATTATGATATGTCCGATTTGTGATGGAGTTAGGAAAAAGTGCAATTTAAACATATCCACCAACTCCTTCGAAGAGATTATCAGTGTCAAGTTGGTTGGCATGAGGGACGAGGATGTGAAACCTACAGAAAGGTGAATCTTTTAAAGGAAAGTCATGGTTAACAAAACTACCCTAACCAACGAACATATGTTCTCGATAAAAGGTTGTAGGACACACTTAAATTACTTCTTTTAGGAGCCTCGAGCACAATACTTCAAGACATCATTCAATCGATATGGGAATTTTTAATGTTAGAACAAGATGTATTCCAATGTTAGAGAGATGGAACCAATGTTGACTACACTTTGATTAGGTCGGAATCTGACAAAGTCGAAAGAAACAACTTGTTTAGGTTCAACATTATAAGCAAAGTAAAAAGTTATGGTGAATTAGTAAAAATGATAAGGCAAAGAAAGGAGGGTAAGATGTCTAGTAGATCACGAAGTAATAAAGTTGAAACAATAACGTTGTTATGAAAAGTTGCTAATTAACGAAAACAACGATGAAACCCATGAGCTGTAACACTATAAGAAGTTAAAACAATGACTAGACAGAGGAATTCACGTTTAAATAAGACAACATTCCAAACAAAATGAAAATTCATCATATTTAAGTAGACTATTTAACCACAATATCGAGAAGTCTATTTTTGAATCCAACAAATAACATAAACATTTAAACCTTCATATTCAAATCCATCCAACGAATAACAATATATTACTCTCAATTCAAAAAGATAAATAAACAATTATTTTTTCTTAATTAAATTCATCAGAATTATGTTATTTTATTTAAAGTTGTAAATCAATCATGTCGATCGGACATTCCGATCAATTTTGTAAGCAACACTGGTGGGATCAGATTGTACGCAATGCGGCCGGCTTGACAACCATGAGATCTGATTAACCCACGAGGAAAATTAACCCCAAAAGTTATATATAAAAAAGTAAATGCTGGAAAATAAAAGGGAAATTGGAAAAGAAGAGAATAAAAGAGCAAGGAATATTCGAAATCCGGGTAACAAGAATATTGTTTTTCATAAAAAGAAAAAAGAATATTGTTCCATTATTTATGTTCGGACTTCGGATGCGCTGATTGATTTCTTTCTTCCTTCCCCTTATCTTCAGATACTTCGATACCAAAAAAAATTGGATTGTAGTGGAGGAGAATTACCGACTCGAGCGACCCAAACTACGAAGAGAAAGAAAAAAAGAAACTGACCGGCGGCGGGATTCGACGGCGATCAGGCGCACAGCAGTAGTAGGATCATCATGAAGTTCTGGAAGAGTCTCAGCATATTGATCGAGGATACGCTGCCCGAATGGAGGGACAAATTCTTGTCTTACAAGGATTTGAAGAAGCAGCTGAAGCTGATTTACCCTAAGGACGGGGATAAGCCACCGAGCAAGCGATTGAAATCGGAAAACCCCTCCGCCGACTGCTCGGATTGTAACGGAAGCGGAGGAGGAGATGTGACGAAAGAAGTGATCGATTTCGTGAGGATCTTGGAGGATGAGATGGAGAAGCTGAATTCGTTTATCGTTGAGAAGGAAGAAGACTCCGTTATCAAGTGGAAGGTACGTCTTTCTGCTTCTGTTTCCCTCGTTTATATGATTGTTATTATGTTATAAATGGGAAATTTTTGTCGAATTGTTGAATCCAATCATGGATTTTAGGGTTTTTGGAAAATTGTTGTGCGATTCTGAGGACAGGGTTCGGATATTGAGAAATCAATGAAGAATCTGATACTTTTGAGGGTTCGATTATTGGTTTGACTAGTGAAAATTGGCTAGATTTTACCATGATAAGGAGAGAAATATAAATTTTCAGGAACTGGGTGATACTATTATGTGCAAATTATTGTCAAATTTCTGGACTTTTTCTATTATGTCATGTTTGGAAGATGCGTTCTTGAATTTATGCAGTTGACCTTTGGGTGTTTGGGTTGCAGGAGTTGCAAGATAGGGCTGCAGAGGCCAAGGATTCAAAAGATGAGCTGATGAGAGTAGGCAGAGAGATAGTAGATCTGCACGGCGAGATGATTTTGCTGGAGAATTACAGTGCCCTTAACTACACTGGTATTCCTCTCTCTTGTTTCTACTTGACCATGTTATGGAAAACTTGAATCCCTAGTTTCTTAATTAAGTTTACTGCAAGTCATAGATGGGAAGATAATCTAAGATACCCTTCTCTACCATCTTCTGCACTTTGTTTTTGCCTGAGCAACAATAAATAACATCTGTTTAGGTACAGTCATGAAATGGGATATTCTTGATTTCTCTCTTTTGTCGTCTGTGTACTAAACAGATAGAAACCCCGCTGCTCTGTGGAAGAAATAGACCTGTCATGCCATTTCAATGGGCGCTTGTAGTTGACTATATGTTCGTAAAGGCTGGATGGATACATTTTTCTTGTTCGGATGATTTTGAAGTACCTGTTTGGCACTTTGCAAAAGCTACGAAATAGAAATATACAAGAGACATCTGGCCAATGCCTGCTTCGGTCAACTGAATGTATCAAGATTAAATGAATATATAAATGTTACCGTGTCTTGTTTGATGATTTTGAAGTGCTTCTATAACATGTCATCGGGCTCTGCGTTGATCTTTGTGATTGTCAATATTCTATGGCTTTAGGATTGGTGAAGATTCTGAAGAAGTACGACAAGAGAAGCGGAGCTCTACTTCGAGTGCCTTTCATTCGAAAGGTCACGCAGCAGCCTTTCTTCACGACTCATGTGCTTAACATGCTTGTGAAGGAATGCGAGGCGACACTCGACGTCCTCTTCCCCAGGAACGAACCACCAACGTCATCGGTAGTCCCACCGGAACCCTCTGGTGGGGAAGCGACGACGGCCACACCTGAGGAGAGGTCGTTTAGGGTGCCGAACGAGCTAAACGAGATCGAGAATATGGAGAGCATGTACATGAAGCAGACATTGTCAGCATTGCGTGTGTTGAAAGAGATAAGAAGTGGGAGCTCGACGGTGAACATGTTCTCATTGCCACCCTTGCAGAGCCATGCCGCGCTGGAGGAAGATTGGAAGAAGCTCTCCGTGTTGGAACAAGCTGCGAAGTAGGGTGTGATTACAGTGTTATAATTAATTTGCATTGCAGACGTTTGGAAAGCATTTCTGATTCTCTAGACGTTTTTGCTTTACCTGGCTTGCTGTGTATATCGTCTTGTGTTTTCTTCCCGGAGCTTGTGGAATTTTAACAGTTTCTATACTTGCAGAAAGTTGAACCCATGTATAACATTTTGATCGGTGTGAGGTCAAATTGGCGTGACTATAGGTTAAGCTATGATAACACCATTGTGAATCGAGTATTATTAAATTTCTGAGGGAATCATTGTAACATGACTCTGGTTCTGGTCAACGATTTATGGCCTAATTGGCAGATATGGTGTTGTATCACAAATGTGAGTTAAGGTATAATTGTATATCTGGATACTTTTAGTGCATGTAAAACATACAACAAAAAAATGATAACACCACACCATCTTGGTCACCTAATCACATGATTGAACTGACACAATTGGCTGGTTTGATTTGTTGCTGCATAATCATACAGTACATTGGAGTATAAGGTTTTTACTTTTATATTAGGTGAGTAAAGAAAGCAACAAAATTATAACAACTAAGCGCCTGTAGCTCAGTGGATAGAGCGTCTGTTTCCTAAGCAGAAGGTCATAGGTTCGACCCCTATCTGGCGCGTTTACTTTTTTCAGTTTTCATTTTCCTGGTAGCCTTCTGATTTTCTTTTGAAATTCTCAAGAAGTATGCATGAGCTCTTGGCTCCCCTCAACTAAACTGTATCTGAATAGCTCATAGCAAGACATATTCTACAATGCAGTACTCTTCATATGATCAACCTAAACACAGATGCCAAATAGCAACCTAGAGCCAACTTCAAACAACCAACCATCCTCTTTGGTTTTGAGGACAGCCTGGTTGACATACCAGTTTCCCCAGCCAGCCTATATATCCACACAACTCTTTTCCTTGGTCTATCTAAAACTTTAATGCTTCAACACTGTTCTCTCTTCCTCATTTGAACATGTCCATAGTTGCAGAAGCACCTGGCTTCTTCCAGCTGTTCTCAGATGGCTCAGTCAAACGCTTCTATCCAGAATCAGTCCCTCATTCCTCGGAAGAATCATTGTCCCCAAATGGGTTCAAGTTCAAGGATGTTACGATTGACCCATCGAAGCCAGTAACTGCTCGGATATTCATCCCAGCTGACCAAGGGTCAAAGCTTAAGCTCCCGGTTCTGGTCTACTTCCATGGTGGTGGTTTCTGCATTGGCTCGACCACCTGGTTGGGCTACCACCATTTCCTTGGAGACTTCTGTGTCAAATCTCAAAGCATTATCGTCTCAGTGGACTATCGCCTTGCACCAGAAAACCGCCTGCCAATAGCTTATGAGGATTGCTACAGCTCATTGGAATGGTTGAAACAGCAAGTCTCCTATGATTCTGACCCTTGGCTTCGAGCAGCTGACATATCGCGGATCTTCTTATCTGGAGATAGTGCTGGAGCCAACATCACACACCAGGTTGCCATCAGGGCATCCAGGAACAAAGATCGCCATGTTAGTGTAAAAGGGTTGTTGATGATACATCCTTATTTTGGAAGTGAGAAGAGGACTGCAAAGGAAAATTGCGATGATGCAGTTGAGGATGTGAAAATGAATGACTTGTTCTGGGGACTAAGCATACCTGAAGGGTTAACACGTGATTACTACGGCTGCAACTTTGAGAAGCAACTAGATGTTTCTGCTGCTGAATGGAGTGCATTCCCAGCCGTGACTGTGTATGTAGCTGGCCTGGATTTCTTGAAGGAGAGGGGAGTGATGTACGGAGAGTTCTTAGCAAAGAAAGGAGTTAAGGAGGTGGCAATAGTGGAAGCCGAGAATCAGCCACACATCTACCATGTGTTTCAACCTGAATCTGATGCAACTCGATTGCTTCAGAGTCAGATGAGCAAGTTCATTGAGAGTCATTAAGCATTTTCAGATTGGCTGTCACAGTAAGAAGGCAACATACACAATAAAAAAGATAAAACTAATAGAGATTTTATAGCAGGCATTGCCAATATGGTTCTATTTTCCAGAACTTTAGCAGTTCCCATTGTCAAAACAATACAACTACAGATTGCCGTGCAATTTGGTGGCTTGTCAAAAGCTCATCCTACTTGTTTTAATCGTCTGGTGGAGACTCAGCCATCGATTCAAGTAATAATGGGGTAATAGTTGAACAACTTTGAAAGAATTATGACATTACATACATACAAGAAGTTGCAAAAGCTGCAACAAAAGGGCTGAACATCAATAATGGTGGCTGAACATGATATTCAAATGACTTGAAATCTCTGACCAGCAATTCATTCATGTCGCACAAACGATCTCCAGTTATTCATCAAAAGTGCTCATAAAACCACCAATAAAGCCAGCTCCGTTGCAGTTCCCACATAGCATATCTTGCTTCCCTCTGAAAAAAAAAAAAAAAAAACTTGATTCAACTACAGTTACAAAATGCACAAAGCAAAATGGCTGCCCAATTCAACACGAACTCAGATGGTGTTCTTGTGATGATTAGAAGCAGTTACCCACAAAGCCAACACGAATCGCCAGCTTTGAATTGACCGTTGAAGAAATCAACTGGGTTCACTCCACTACCCTTGCACTGTGAACACTGAACCGCACCTTGCAAAACAAAGATAAGCAAATGGGGAAAAGCAATGAACAGAGTGGAAAATTTTTACAGTCCAAAACACACATTCTAAACAACGAAAGCTTGAGGGCTACCATTTCCATCACAATCGGTGCATATCACACTCTTTGGCTTCGGGGCTTGATTATCTGCTCCTGCAGCCTGTGAATGTGAACACAATAGGGTTTTCTGATTTTCACCGCCAGTAAGCAAATTCAAACTATTTGAGGTTGATGAAAATAACTTCAGACCTTGGAGGCTTGCAAATGTCCACGCCTCCTATTGCTTGACGCTTTCCTCTGCAGGCCATGAATCCCTCTAGTTCCCGAGCTCTGCGTATAAATCCCTGCCGAGAAAGCGTGAGATTCTGATGTTATGAATCTTCCTTTTTCACGGGTAGCAGCCAGAAATGCAATTATTTACCTGAATGTGGAATGGGGAGCGCCATGCTACAACCTGCGACGGCAGCCATTGACGACGAAAATGAGAAATTTCCCTCCTCTCATATTTTGGAGTGGATAAAGAGCAATTTCGTCTAAGAAAATATGTAAAATAGCACCTAACTTCTTTTTCATTGTTCATTTGGTCCCTGTATTTTCCTCCGGGTAGGAAAGCATGCTTTAACCTGCATTATTGATCAAATATGATTTTTTTTTTTGTGTCTAATTGCTTTAGAGGACATTCGAGTTTCGAATCTTTCAGCAACCACAAACACGAACTTTTACTTCCCAATATGAAAAAATTACCCTCCATATCCCTAATTGCTTGGTTAAGTTTTCCTGCATGAGTGTTCACTTTCAACCGACCCATAGAAGGAGGTCTCCAGCTTGATACTTGTATTGGTCCTCGAGCATTGTTACTCTCTTGCTGCAATTTAATATCTCTGTAGGTTCGTAGAAAACTTTGAGATTGACACAATACCTTATTCTCCTCAAGCTTTGGGCCATTGTGCATATTGTTGTTCTTTCAATCCAAAGGTACCATAATGCAATTCTGCTGAATGTTTGTTCACTTTCATTCTGTATTTATGTTTGCAATCGTCGTGGAGAGGAAGTTTTTCAGCCCAGGAACTTTGTCGTCGTATGTGAGTGGACCACTCACAAATCAATACAGGAAGCAATAGGAGTCTGTTTCTATCCACAATAGGTACAATAATCCGGTTCCACCTTCTCTTCTAACTTCCTTTTCCAAATTCTCAATTGCGGGGAGGATATTATGGCTTAACTTTCACAGAAATAGTTCATGTTATTTGAACACACTCAAGTCATCAATCCAAACAACAATCACTTCCTAGTTCCTACTATATTTTTTTTGGGTAAATGCCACATTTATTCACTGAGATTACTAAATCGTGTCATGTTTAGTTACTAGAAAAATTTAATATCAATTTTGGTCACTCGAATTACTGGAACATGTCACATTTAGTCACTCTTCCGTTAGTTTCCTTCCAACTTCATTCAGTAATTCGAGTAGGGGTGGAAAACGGGACGAGACGAGATACCCGTCCCGTTTGAAACGGGTACCCAATCCCGTTTAGAGACCAAAGTCCATCCCATTCCCAAACCCATATGGGTAAACGGGTACCCATTACTACCCATACGGGTCGGATAACGGATACCCATACTATCCATAAATACCCAAAGTTTGAATCACTAAAATTCTAAACTTAACTTATACCTACTTAATACAAATTCATGAACAATCACAAGGCATAGAATAAATCCACTCATAACATTAACAACTAAGAAACTGTTGAGTGTAATTCTTGAATTCCAATTCCGCTGATCCCTGGTAGTTGTAACCTGCAAAAATAGAGTTCATTATCAACAAATTAAAGGGGAAAGCAAAAGACCAAAACCATAACAACTAACAAGCATTATCCACTGCATTCTACAACCTGCAAAACATCTAGGCAATAACAAGCAAAACAACAAATCCATTATCTTTCAACTTTGTTCTTCGTGGAATTAAAAATAAACAGCTACCTTGTACTTATCTTTCAACATGTATTATAAATATAAACCTTGTTCAACTAGAATAAACCAATTCAACAGCAAATAAACGAACAGTTCATCATTTGTACACTGAACGGGTTTAACGGGTACCCATATTACCCAAACGGGTATTTGCGGGTAACCCGCGGGTACCCATTATAGTAATGTACAATCCCAAGTCCCATCCGTTAATAATATTACGGGTATTATGGGTATCCGTAACCCTCAAAAAACGGGACGGATACGGGTATACCCAAATACCCGTTACCCGTTGCCCACCCCTAAATTCGAGTGACTAAATATAACATATTTCAGTAATTCGAGTGACTGGAGTTGGATGAAGGCTAAAGGGAGAGTGACTAAATGTGACATGTTTTAATAATTCGAGTGACCAAAATTGATATTAAATTTTTCTAGTGACTAAACATGACACGATTTAGTAATCTTAGTGACAAAATGTGACATTTAATTTTTTTTTCTCTCCGTAATTTAACGATTTAATAATCTTAGTGACAAAATGTGGCATTTAACTTTTTTTTTTTCCTCTCCGTAATTTAGTTCCTACTATTGGTCGATGGTTATTAACCTTCTAGCTCTCCTGGACCTGGATGCACATGAACAACCAAAGCCCAAACCTCGGGTTCTCTAAAGCCCATTCCGGGCCTCAATGTAGAAGTTCAAAAAATCTAAAAAGTCCATCGACAAGACCGACATAAGGAAGCGTAATAAAGAACGAAGAAGAAGGGTATTTCAGGAAAACGCATTCCAGATTTTGCTGGGCACTTTGTATAAATCATCGCATCGAGCTCAAGCCGCAGCCCTATCTCAAATTTACTCCGATTTTGAGGTCTCGCCGGTCTCCAATCTCTCAAAGCTTGGTTTCCCCTCTATTCTCTCTGTCCGTAGCGTTGCTAACCTGTTTCCTTTGCAGACTTTCCCCCTCAACACCCCTTCCAAACCCTAACCCTAAAACCCCCCCTTCCTCACCCACAGCAGCTTCACAGGTATGTCGAATTTTTCTGAATCTCGCCGCTTTGGTCTTTTAGTTTTTGATTCACGGTGGGAGGAGTGAAACCCTAATCGGATTTAAAGTGATACGTGCTGTTTCAAAATCGTTTGTCGCTTTGGATAGATTGGTCGCGTGCTTTTCAAGTGGATTAGATCTGTGTGCTTTGTCTGTTGCCTGACGCTCGATTTGTTCGGTACTGACTTCCAAGATCTGTGATTTTAGACCATGGGAGAAACAAGGGACAACGATGCCTATGAGGAGGAGCTTATCGATTACGAGGAGGATGAGGAGAAAGCCCCTGATTCCGTCGCTGCCAAAGTCAACGGCGAAGCTGCCAAGAAGTAAGTTACTTCAGTGCTTTGCTGAAGCATCTGATAGGCTGATTCTATGACCTTACACATGATTATTACGCTTTTTCAGCTTCGTATAGTCTGTCTGCTGTGTCAACTATTGGTTAGGAGACCAGTTTCTCAATTACTGTTGTCTTTATTTTAGGGGATACGTTGGAATACACAGTTCCGGATTCAGAGACTTCCTTTTGAAGCCAGAGCTCCTTCGGGCAATTGTGGATTCTGGTTTTGAGCATCCTTCCGAAGGCAAGACTTTCTTTTTACCGAGTTATATTTGTTTGGGACCTCGTATGTTTAACTAGTTAGACTTGCAATCTTAGATTTTGATGTTGGAAGAAGTTTAACAATATGTTTCAAGTAGGTCACTGGCTCTGTGGAGTCCCTATTATTTCGAGCTATTTAGGTTTACTTTCATGAGTTGAACTGCCACTTCGCTAATGTCTGCGGCTATTTCAGTGTCTGTTAGTTACATTCGTATGGATCTTTGGTGCCTGCCTCATCCTTTTAACTGTTTATTTCTCAATGGCATTTTATGGCTCACATCTAGCTTTCTCTTTTATTTTCAGGTAATAAATAACTATCATAATCTTGATTTTGGAGCACTATTCTGGTTTGGTAACACCCTTCAATTATCCATCCGGGAAGGTTTGTATACTTACGAGGGGTACCTTCGGTCCGATTTTCTTTCGTTCCTCATCAGTTCAACATGAATGTATTCCCCAAGCCATCTTGGGTATGGATGTTATCTGTCAAGCCAAATCCGGAATGGGCAAGACTGCTGTTTTTGTTCTGTCTACTCTACAACAAATTGAGCCAACTTCCGGTCAAGTCATTGCCCTTGTTCTGTGTCATACAAGAGAGCTGGCTTACCAGGTATATCCTCATTTTTATAGATTTCAATGGTTTTGTCTTTTGATGTTCCTTGTTGTTGGAGTGAGTATGACTTGTTTGTTTTGTTATTGGATGTTCCAGATCTGCCACGAGTTTGAGAGGTTCAGTACCTACTTGCCTGATACCAAGGTTGCAGTCTTTTATGGTGGTGTCAACATCAAGACTCACAAGGATCTTCTGAAAAATGAATGCCCTCACATTGTTGTCGGAACCCCTGGTAGAATACTGGCTTTGGCTAGAGAGAAGGATCTTTCCTTGAAGAATGTCCGACATTTCATTCTGGATGAATGTGACAAGATGCTTGAATCACTTGGTATGTGTACAGTTCATGCTGTTTTTTTGGAATTGTTACTGATATCTTTTCTATGGTTGAGTACTTATTGCGTTTATTATGTGGCATGTAGATATGAGGAGAGATGTGCAGGAGATCTTCAAGATGACCCCTCATGACAAGCAAGTCATGATGTTCTCTGCCACTCTGAGCAAAGAAATCCGCCCAGTATGCAAGAAGTTCATGCAAGATGTAATGTCCTATGGCCAGTTCTACTTGAATTTAGCAGCGTTATCCTTTTAATAATTCGAGATTTCTGCAAAAGTTTTGGGATCCAGTTGTCCATCACAAGAGTGGCCTTACATGTCTTAAAGGTGAAATGATAGTTCCTGTTGAGTGCCTTATGAGGAAGGAGGTGTCAGATGGAAGTTCTTGGCAATCACAACTGTGTTTGACTGCTGTCAAATATAATTTGTGCTTTGTCCCTCATATTCATCAATATACGAGGAGTTGCTGGTGGTCTGAAGTTAGCAATTGGGGTGGGCTGGGGAGATCAATCAGGGCCAAGGAAGTTGTTAAAATGAATTAGTCTGTGGGAGTATTTAGGTTGGTGAAGGGGTGGGATGAGATTTAATATCAATTTTGTTTTCTTTTGCTTTGTTTTGGGGGGCGAGTTGTATTTTGTGGGGGGTGAGCATGCTGGGATGTGATGATAGAGCTGAGCTATGGTGGCAGTGAATATAAAATGCACCTGCATGGAGACAACTCGGATGGACTGGGTTCTTGACTGGAGCAACTGATACGGTCATTCTTTCCTTCTGGATTGCATTAGCTTGAGGAACAACCCTAACGTGATTTACTGTAAAATTTGTTCCTTTCAGCCAATGGAAATTTATGTCGACGATGAAGCCAAATTGACCCTTCATGGTCTAGTACAGGTAAACCTTCAGTTGTTTGTGGATCCCGTTTCTGCTTTTGTTTGCTATGTGCTTCGCTGACATGTTACTTATTATCAGCACTACATCAAATTGACTGAGCTGGAGAAGAACCGTAAGCTGAATGACCTTCTGGATGCCTTGGATTTTAATCAAGTTGTTATCTTTGTCAAAAGTGTGAGCCGTGCCGCTGAGCTGAACAAGTTGCTGGTGGAGTGTAATTTCCCTTCAATTTGCATCCACTCTGGAATGTCTCAGGAGGAAAGGTTTGTATAACTATTTTTGCTTTGGGTTAAAATGAATGTGCTGTTGATATAGGTTTTCCATGATCATAACTGAATGTTGAATATAAAGTTTGCGATTTGTTATGTTCATATTTCTAAATCGTGTTTGGGGTGCACTTTTAAGGTTGACTCGATACAAGGGATTCAAGGAGGGTCATAAGAGGATTCTTGTTGCCACAGATTTGGTTGGTAGAGGAATAGACATTGAAAGGGTCAACATCGTCATAAACTATGACATGCCTGATTCAGCGGACACCTATCTTCACAGGGTAATTTCTGAGTGTTCGGTTGCTCAGCAATTTATTTTACTGGTGGTTGTTTTGGTGATGGTCCTCTAACTTGGTAGTTTGTACGGATTGTCATGTACAGGTTGGACGAGCTGGTAGGTTTGGTACAAAGGGTCTTGCAATAACATTTGTCTCTTCAGCTTCCGACTCGGATGTTCTCAATCAGGTGAGTGACTTGAAGTTTTCTATCATGCTCAATCCATTGCTGCAGCCCACTCATTTCTGTTCTCGTGATTACTCCTTTGTGCAGGTTCAGGAAAGGTTTGAGGTGGACATTAAAGAACTTCCTGAACAAATTGATACATCCACATACAGTACGTATTCGTGTGTTTATTTGATTCCTTTCCGAGTTATACTGCCGGAACTTGTGTGCAAATTACTGGGTTCCTGCCTTTGGTCTTGTGTTATCTGTTTCTGTTTTGACATAATACAAGAACTGCTAGCTGATTGACTATCCTCTTGTTATTTTATTATATGTAGTGCCGTCGTGATTGGAAAAGCTTGTACTTGGAAGCGATTGATTTTGAAGGAAGGCCTAACCGCGCAACTGGGATGGTGTGTTTCCTTTTGGGAGCTGGAAATGTGATTGTACTATGTAGCTTGTTGCTTTGTTGTTTTCATCTCGTTGGCCTAAAGAACGGAGTAGTGAGAAGTGGATGTTGGTTCTATCGTTTATGAGTGTAGGGGGTGATGAAACTTTATTAGTAGTTGTAGCTCTTCACCTATCATTTCGGAAATTTTCGGCCTATCAAGTATCAGTCTGTGAGTTGTGTACTAAATTTAGATAATGAGGTTATACATTAGTTGATTTTCAATGCGTGTTAGTTTGCACTATTGGTAAGAATGTGTTTTGAGAATTCATTTTCGTTGCATTTTTGTAAGCAATTTTGTGCGTTTTCGGTGGTGGGAGGAGGGTTTGACAGGTGTTGCCAACGGTGGTGATGGTTCTATGACTATGGGCAAACATTAGGCAACGAAAGTTTGTGATCTGGACTCAGGTTGGTCTTTGACTCGGGCCTATTGGGTCTCCAGTCTGAATCATTGGGTCTTGGGTGTTAAGGGGTCGTTTGCTTCAAGGATTTGGTACAAAAAAATCAACTATCAAGGATTTAGGTACAATCCGTTGTTTGCTTGCACTTTTTTTGGAGACCAAATTCGTGGGGGCCACGGATTTTAAGGGTCCAAATCCGTGGACCTCACGAACTTATAAATCCCACATGTTGATGTGGGATTTGGAATATGACATAAATTATTGATGAGATTTTACCCATATACCCTCATACACTTTTAATATTCCAAGGTTGCCCTCAAATTTAACTATTGTACATTATAATTAACAATAAATGAATAATATAAACGTTCAATTAATGTGCAAACATTAGTTAGATTTTTAATATCATTTCTTGTGTTCTAGTTTTCTTTGACCTTTTCATGGAACGTGTAATTCTTTGTTCTCCCGATTCTAATATATGTTGGTTGTTATATGTCACTTTTGAAAAGGAGGACAAAGAATTGGTAATTGATTATGTTACTTTAAAACGGAATTTTCTCGTTTATTATTATTGTCCATGTGGCAACATTATGCTTATTAGTATGTATTGTCCTTGTTTTGTGTACATATCATAAACATGTCAAACATATAGAAAATTATAGTAAGGTAATTTTGAAGTTTTGTCCTTGTTTTGTGTACATATCATAAACATGTCAAACATATAGAAAAGGGCAGTAATGTAATTTTTGACTTTAAGTAGTAAATCCCACACCTTTAAATCCATGATAAAAAGTTTAAAAACATCCCAACAAACAAATGATTGTTACAAATCCATGATGCCTCAAATCCTTGATAAATCCTTGAGTTTTTAAATTACAAAACTCTCATTTTTAAATCCATGAAGCAAACGACCCCTAAATGTTTTTTATGTGGATTAAATGCCACATTTGGTTATTAAGATCGTGTCATGTTTAGTAACTAGAAAAGTTTAATATCAATTTTAGTTACTGAAATTACTGAAATAGGTCACACTTGGTCACTCTCCTGTAGTCTCTCTCCAACTCTGGTCGCTCGAATTATTTGAATATGTCACATTTAGTCACTCGAATTATTAAAATTGATAACATTTAGTCTAGGGATGGCAAATTACCCACCCATGGGTAATTATACCCAAACCCAAGTAGATCCATTGATAATGGGTTGGGTATGGGTGAAGTGCATATGGATTTGGGGGTTTATAGATGGGTTTGGGTAAGGTATGAATATTGCTTCCATAATCTAAATGGGTATGGGTTGGATATGAATATCCATTTACTTGAGGGTGTTTTAACTACACATGCAAAAATTGGACCTATTTGTAAAACTTGAAAAGTTTAGGTACCAAAATGTAAGACCAAAAAAATTTAGGTACCAAAACGTAATTTTCCATCGATATTTTGAGGACTTATATGCAAAAAAAATTAAATTTAGGTACTAAATATGCATATCTATTAAGTTTGGGTACCAAACTGTAATTTGTATTTGGGCATGGGTACAAACCCAAATTCATTTGATATAAACCCAACTCAACCCAAAGTAAATGGGTATGGGTACAAACCCATCAAACTCTACCCATATCCATCTATTTGGATTTTATACCCAACCCAATTGGGTTGGATAGTAAGAAACCCATGGGTATGGGCAAAGTTGCCATCCCTAATTTAGTCACTATTGGGAGAGTGACTAAATGTGACATGTTTCAGTAATTTGAGTGACCAAGATTGATATTAATTTTTTTTCTAGTGACTAAACATGAGACGATTTAGTAATCTCATTGATCAAATGTGGTATTTACCCGTTGTTTGTGTATTATTTTTTCTTTGGGCTTGCCCATTTTCAATCGAAATGTACCTTACGAAAGACATTGTGATGTTGGCCACAAGGTTGTTGGAGTTTTGAAATAGGTTTGAATGGAAACGCGGTAGGGGTGGACAACGGGACGAGATTGGGAACCTATCCAGTTTGAAATGGGTACCAATTCCATTTGAAGAAGAAACTTCATCTTATGTCCCAAACCCGTACGGATTAATGGGTACTCATTATCCATACGGGGATAATGGGCACCCGTGAGTACCCATAAACTTGTCTAATTTTCGTTATTTGATCTTTTATTGGCAGTAAAATTGGCTTAGGAATTCAATTTATTGAATTGAATTGTAGTGAACCTACTGCTACTGATTATGCATGCATCATGGAATTCTTTCTATTAAATTGAATTGTAATGAAGCTACTGCTTCTCATTTGTACAGAATGTAGGAAGACAATAGAGGTGTAGTAATTGTTGTCCAATTAAGTAGGTGAAGGTTATCGAGTAATATATGTTCATTGTTTTAAATTAATGGTTTGGTTTGGGTGGATGGGTAGTACGGGTACTTGTAATACTCAAATGGGTATTAACAGGTAATCCACGGGCATCCATTGTAGAAGTTCTTGATCCCAAGTCCCATCCCGTAAAAATAATTACGGGTATTTTGGGTACCTATAACCGTAAAAAAAGGGACGGGTATGGGTATATCCAAATATCCGTTTCCCGTTGTCCACCCCTAAAACGCGGGATGAGAAAGCTTGAGTAAGTCTAAGGGAGAAAAATGGACTAATAGTTCAATTGGGGGAGGAGCGTTTTCTCTCTCACATTTAGCGAGAATTTCAGAGCGACGGAAACTTAGGTTTTTCAAAAAATTTCGAGGAGAGTTTGGTGATCGAATACTCTTGGGAGAAGGTTTTCAGAGACTATAAGGACTGCGATAACTTTGTTTATCGTGTTCTGGCACGAGATTAAAGCTTTTTAAGGATTATTGGGATAAGCCTAGCACTATATGTTTAGGTTATTATCGCTGCTTGGCAAAAAAACCCTAGAAGTTTCCTTGCTACGAGATACATTGAAATTTCGGTGGGCTTGTTTACAAGTTACAACAATGACGGGGCACCTGGAGATTGCGAAAGAAAAAGGGGATCTGACATGGAATCCCTAGAACTGCGTAGCACTGGCTTAGGGATGACAATGAAGCGGATTTGTTTAAATCATCCTCATCCTTGTTTCAAATACTCAAACCAATACTCATGTGGGGAATATTTTGCAAACCTATTCCCGTATCCATGGGTAATACCTGTCTCATACATCCCTCATTATTATACCTTTACAAGATTTTTTTTTAATTATAACATTAACGAACATACTATATCATGCCGTCAACTAAATACGATCATTTTCTTGATACAGTTCAAAGAATATGATCCAAAAACATCCATTAATACATAATATGGAGTACAAATATTTACCAATTATTATGCTCTAACTCTGATATATCTATTAAGTAATAATTAACTAACATAATCTTGTTGACAAGGGGGAAGTGAAAGAGTGAAGGGAGAATTGAGAGAAATGAATTAAGATTATATTAGGGTGGCCACTAAATTGCATTTTTACTATTTGTTTTCTGGAGTTACCTTCATTATCATTGATAGGTTACGATTTGATTCACATTTTTTTTATATGTGGAAAAATTCTCTTGGTGTGGAGGGTATAGGTATGGTTATGGGGCGGGGAAGGCTAAAACCATACCCGCCCCATACCCACCCCATACCCATCAAAGATTTTATGAGTTTTACCCATACGCGTCCCATACCCAGTCAAAGCAGGGATTCTCCGCATTGACTGTGTCGGGGGCGGTCGGATACCCACGGTTATGAGTTTGATTGCCATCACTAAGCACAGTTGAGAGCATGGAGAGAGCGACGTGGATTTAGTGAGAATGGAAGCAGTCCGTCAGCTGGGTCTGATTGGGCGCCTGCTAGCTGAAAAAATAATCGAGCATTAAGTCAATGAAAATATCGTTGGCTAGTGTGGAATCTAAAGAAGGGCTTTCATATTACATATATGGGAGATATGCTATTTGCGTTCCAGTTCCTTCACATCGATGACAGGAACAAGGTTTGCTATGGAGGCCATTGACATTATGAAAACAATATTATGGTCCTTATGGCTAGCTTGCTTATCAATAAATCTACCACTGAAGCATTGCATGTGATCGATATCTGGATTCAAATCAAAGAGTTTCCAGCGGAACTAAGAACTTAGAAGATGGTAGAGAAGATAGCTAACAGATTTGGCTCGCTAGTGTGGTTTGATGATAATTCTCGTACAATGTGGGACACTTATATGCGCATGAGAGTGAGCGTCTCTATTAACAACCCTCTGAAAAAGAATATAAAGCTCAACATTGGAGGAAGATTAGTGGAATACCTAATCAAGTACGAGAAGCTCCCAATGTTCGGTTATTCATGTGGGGGAATTGGGCACCCAAAGATACGTTCTCTAAACCATCTGGTCTGGAATCAGATCCTTTGGGATTGGGAGAAGAAAACAAAGAGAGGAAGGAGAAGAGTTGAGTGTGAACTAGGTGAGTGAAGCCACTGATGGAAGAAACTAGGAAGTAGTCTTTTCAATTTTTACTCTAGTAGAAGCCATTGACGAAGAAGAGTGTGACAGATGAGAAAATAAGTGCCTCTACCAAATTTGAACCATAAACCTGCAACATGTTCATTAAAATGTAAGTAGGATTATTGATTTTAAAGTTAGTTTAGTTATGAAAAGACACATTTATTCAACTATTGAACACTCTAATACCATGTCGAAAACCAGTTTATCTTAAATATATTGAGTCATAAGAAATAAAAAAATCTCATATCATTATCGTACAAGTTAACCCGGTAACTTAATCAAATTTATATTATGTATTACATATATTAGTTCACCACTCTTGCTTTTACCTAAAAACAAAATTTCAAATTCGGTAAGAAAATATGAAACGTTTATGAAGTTTCTCGGCCAACTCTCTTTCTAAGAACAATTTCCCGGCCAAATT